AAAAAAAAATCCACAGAATTTGAAGAAGCGAACGTACCGAATTCTGACTCGCAGCAGGAAGGGGAGTCCATTGAAGCCGCCCTGCTCTGTAGTCCGCCACAAATTCTTCCAGAACCGTCTCCGATACGTCTGGTTGATCGCAGACACATAACTGACCCGCCAAGCCATCGACTATACAGATCAAAGGAAGCTCGAAGTCTCCGAGGCCAAGAATTGATTCTAGGATCTATAACAAGAATACAATATAGGTAACATCGAAAATTATAGTAAAAAATTTACATGGTCACAGATAGGATCCTCGCCGGTATAGAGCAGTTGTAGAGGATCAGCTTGTGGTGGGATGGGTAGATCAGAACCAGTTGAGCTAAAATTGAATAACAAAAATTCCCCGAAAAAAATAAATAGAGAAAAAACCAACCTGCACTCCTCACTGCTTGCCGAGTTTCTCAATCCAGAACCTGGTTCAGCATTTTCGTCTGTTTTGTTTTCCGCTTCCTCTGCTCTGCGTTCTTCAATTTTCATTCGCTCTTCAAACAAGCGCTTCGATACTTTCTCCATGACAGATAGGGAGAACTGAATGTCGTCAGGTGAGCCTTCTGGAAAAGAATTCCGCTGTATAGTACAATTTAATTTGTAAAACGCTGAAGATACCTGTGAACAATATGAGCGATGGTTCATCTCTAAGCCGGCAAACAGTATACTCATTTAGTTCGTAAAGGGGGCGCTGTTTCCAAGGAAAGTATCGGCCAGCTGGGTCTTCAAGTAACGACGACCTCCCGTGATTTGTGATCACCTTCCCAGCTTGGTCCAATAAGATCAGAGAGGGAATCCCTAGAAAAAAAAACCATCGGTCTGGAATTTCAAGCGCACATTGTGCCGCATACCACTGATATTGTAAACTCTCGTTAACGCCAATGTTCTAGCGGGATCATATGTGAATGCTAACCACGGCATCTGAAAAACACTTCTTCAACAGCTGGCAAAGGGAAATGTTGTGCTGCACCTGTTCAACAAAGTGATCAAAGGCTTCTTGAGATCTGTCAGAGGAGCAGAAGATTATTTCCAATGAGATGCCATTCTTTTTCATCTGCTCATAGACTGGCGTTAACTGCTTCACCCACTGTCTGCATGGTGGACACTAAAGAACATTTTTAGGACCTCAGAGACTATTGCGGTTATCGTACTTTGCCCCCTAGGGTACATTTGGCAATTAACACGTTGACGACAGTGCCGCGCAATGGTGCGCGACAGGCAGTCTGTCCCTGTGGACG